AGGAGGAGGAGGAGGACCAGTGCAAACCCAGGACTCGTCAACCATGTTGGAATACACCCTCCCTCCATGCTCCCTCTCCATAGGCGCTGGGGGAATTGCCCCGTTGGGTGGCAACCGTGTGAAACTCGTGAAGCGTACCAAAACACCATCCTCAGGTTTTCAACGCCACGAGTTAACCTGACTAACCGTGCCAGAAAACCAATCCTAGGACTTCAACGCCGCGAATCAACGTAATTGTAGCTCCCTGGAAATCCGGAATAGTTTCAAAACGCTGTTTCTGGTACGTTAACCGTGAAAACCAGTGAAACTCTCGCACATGTTTAAAACGAATGTGCGCGGCGCGAAGGCGAGGGTCGCATTTTAAAAAGAAAACCGCCTTCAATTTGTGAAACCCTTGGCAGATTTGAAAAGAATGTGCGCGGCGCCGACGCGAGATCCACACTTTGAAAACGCACCGCCCCGATCTTTGAAGCTCTTACAAATTGCGAGGACGAGTGTGCGCGGCGTGAAGGCGAGAACCGCCTTTGAAAACCACCCGCCCTCAATCCGTGAAGTTCTTGCAAATTTAAAAAACGAATGTGCGCGGCGCTAAGGCAAGAGCCACATTTTGAAAACGACCCGCCCTTCATGTGTATAATTGTTGCCGACTTTTCAGCTTCACGGTCACACATGGTGAGGAGGTCTCAGGCGAAGCGCTCGGCCCATCCTTTCGACCGGCCTCGGGGTGCGACAGGGAGGAATTATTACAAGGAAAGGAATGGATGAGGAGGAGGAGGAGGAGGAGGAGGAGGACCAGTTTAAACCCAAGATGCACCAACGATGTTGGAATACACCCTCCCTCCATGCTCCCTCTTCACAGGCCCCATACAAAGCTTCATTTCCACTGAGGGAATTGCCCCGTTGTGGGGCAACCGTGTAAAGCTCTTGCAGCGTGCCAAATCACCAGCTTCAGGATTTCAACGCCACGAGTTGACCGGATTCTGATGTCTTGGCGATCCTGAAACGTGCCAGAACACCATTCCTGGGACTTCAACACCGCGAATCAACGTAACTGTTGCTACATGACAACCATGAACTGGCAAAACATCATTGCTGGTAAGTTAACCATGCGAATCCGTGAATCTCTTGTGCATGTTCAAAACGGGGTGCGTGCCAGCATCCGCTGCTGCGAAGGATGCGGGCGGGGTCGGCGTGGCCGCCCAAGTGGACATAAACGAAGATCTCGATGGCCTGCGTGCTCTCTGCACCGACGTGTTCGCCACCGAGCCTCCCGGTGACGAGGAGGTCTCGCGCGCTGCCATCAGGCGCGTCGCATCAGCTCGCGGGAAGCACGCCCCGAAATCGAGGCAGGCGTCGGCGGAAGCATGTCTGAGACGTGTTGCTGGCTGCTCCTGTCGGTCGCCTGCGCGGTACCTCTCTCGGTGCAGGCGATGCCCCGCTGCGGCGGCGATGGAGCGGTCCGCGTGATCTCGCGGGTGGCCGCCGCCCTGGGCGTGGGGGCGCGGGCCTTGCTGCCCCAAGTGCGGCGACTTCGGCGACCTCGCATGGCGATCGGCCCGAGAAAGTTGCCACCCTTGGCGCGGGGCCCCACGAGAGGGATGGGCCTCCCAAGGCGTGGGCGGAACTCGCCAGGGGTGTCGCTGGAGGTCTCGCGGCATGGGTGGCATCTACTGGCTCGGCTTCTGAGAGCGGATCGGTTTCCACGTCGACGTCGATGGCAGGGCCCGCATTTTCGTCGTTGCCAGGAGGAGCAGCGTTGGGCGAGTCCGCAGATGTTGTGGTTCAGCTCCGCGGCGGCGACGATGGCCCCTCTGTCCCAGGAGCGGTGTCGGGTGGGTCCGCTGCGGCCGCGGGTCGAGATGCAGGGATTCAGCACTGCGGTCGCGACGATGGCCCCTTCCGCCCCCCTCGGCTCGAAAAGGTCGGGACCGCAGGAGGAGGAGGAGGAGGGCCCGCGTCTGTGCCTGTTGGTGATCTGGCCTTTGGCAGCGGGAAGCCTCCGCCGAGATCCCACCAGGAACCCTCAAAAGTCATGAACATCATTGACAAGTTGAGCACGCCGTGCACCCCAGTAGCAATACAATAAAGCACAGTGGGCGGCGGATCGAAGACGCACACGGCGAATCACCGCCGCCCCTTTGCCTTTTGGAAGAGCCCACGCGGCCGCACGCGGGGCCGAAGCTTTGGCCAAACTGCAGTCGAGTATCTGATTAAGAAACCTCCTTCCGAAAAGCTGGGCCAGCGTCGCCAATCCAGCCTGCCGGAAAGCTGGTCCAGCTGCTTGAGCACGTTCGCGCGCTGGCCCAGATTTCGCGAGTGATTTGGTCCCTTAATTACATCTTCGGCTGGTGGAGAGGGCGGGCAAGCTTTTCGAACCTCCGGTCCCTTCTACCCGCCTGGCCCTTCCCTGCGGCCGGCGCCTGCATCCCGCAGTCTTCGCCCCAGCACGAGGAAGAGGAGGAGGAGGAGGAGGAGGCGGAGGAGGAGGAGGAAAAGGAAACGGAAAAGGAGGCGGAGGAGGAGGATACTGAGGAGGAGGATGAGGAGGAGGAGGAGGAGGAGGAGGAGGAGGAGGACACTGAGGAGGAGGAGGAGGAGGAGGAGGAGGAGGAGAAGGAAGCTAATCGAGGGGAAGCGGAGGGCGTGGCGGTGGCGTTTCCCGCACGCCCGCAGGCGGCTCGGGGGGCGACGAGCTCACCCAGTTCATGGGCGACGAGATCTCGCGCATCATCCAGACGCAGCGGGACCTGGAGAGGCAGTACGAGGCTCCCTCCTGGCTCTACGCCGTCCTCCTCCATTCTCCTCCTCGCCCTCCCCTCCACCTTGTCCTCGTCCTGCCTGTCCTCTTCGTCCTTCTCGTCCTGCTCCTCCTCGTCCCAGGTCGCCGCGGGCAGGATGAGAAATCGCCGACCCGCCAGGAGTTTGCAATTCCCCCTCTGCAGACCTTCGGCCCGCGCTTCCTGCCGTAAGCCAGGGAGGAGGCGAGAGCTTACATCACCTTACTTCCCACGCCGTTTCTTTCTCCCCCTTGGTCCCGACTGGTGCCGCATTTGACTCCGATGGGGTTTGGAATTCGAGTCGCACCCACGCGAGGGAAGGCCAGATGGCAAAGCTCGGGCCAGATGGCAAAACTCGAGACATGGAACAACATGTTGATGTTGCCGCCGCCTGGACTGGAATAACATAGCACCCGTATGTTTTTTTGGACCGTCAAACGAGCCGAGCCATATCGTTGCCAAGTCAGAGAGTGGAGCAGCAATTCAGCATACATACGACGTGAATGTTGAAATATGGTTCAAAGCAGTTCCGTGTTCAGCAACAGCTTCACCATATATAAACTACAAGGTGTTGCCATCGCTTGGATCGTGGTCGGTATAGACGCAGCGCAAAGTTCAATTGAAGGAAGCTTGCGTCTCATATTGCACATCGCCCTCCCTCCCCCCAAAAGCAACAGCAACATGTGTTTGTATCGCCGCGGGAATGGTAGAAAGCAAGGCAGTTGGTTGCTTCAGAGTGACTTGCCAGAACATGTCCATTGAGGAGGAACGAAAGCAATTCGCCTTTGCAGTTGGAGAAATATGCCCAAGGTGCCACGCAAGACTATAAAGTGGTGGACGCTTTAGTCTTCACGTCTATGCAAAGACAACTCCTGCATACAGTGAGGCATACAGTGAGGATCATGAAGTATCGGTCCTGACGGACACCCACCAAGGACGCCGACATTGCAGCTGGAAGAATGATGGGCGTAGTTTCTGGCAGTCTTGTTGAAGGAGGAGCCATTACTTTTTCGGTTCCAATGAGGCTGGTGTGTTGAGCTCGCACTCGAATAATACATTTCTTCAGGATCTGCGCATCGACATGGCAATTCGCGCGAAATGCGTGGTCCTGATGATGCTTCTCTGGGCTGCTCGCGCAGAGCACGATACTGAACACACGCGCGGGGAAGCAGATGTTGCTCTAGAATTTCGTGAAGTGCTTGAAACAAGATAATTGGATCGAATGGCCACCAGATGCACGAGCATCAGCTCGTCGTTGTCGTTGTCGTCGTGGTCGTGGTTTGCGTCGTCCTTCTGGGTCGGCGGCGCAAGACGTAAGGCCTTCACAAAACAAGAGTATATCCAGGCTTACTTGGCTTCGGGAACTTCTCTCAGAGGGCCTGGGGGCTCAACCCAGCAAGAAGTCGTGCCAACATCCAGCCTATCTGAAATCGGCTCAGCCAAGAGCAGCGCCCCTCGGCGCCCTAGTGTCTCGCGTCTCCGCTTGGATTCACGGCTGACGAGCGCACCTGTAACGGCCAAACGTGTGTGAGTGGGCATCGGTGCTTCCGCTCCCATGCCGGCCCCTCATGCTATGCAGTTCTGGGGGCTTCCGAGCCTGCTGAGGAGGCCCGCCGCTTCTCGCTGCCCCCCCAGGGCTCGCCGCCGATCACCGTATAGACCACCGCGGGGTGCCCCAGGCAGGCCTCTTCGGCGCGAGGAGGAGGCCCCGCGCATACACGTCTGCACGCGGGGGCACCAAGCGGGGAGTCGGAAAGGACCCTGTTGCTCGGTTCTCGAACCTCGAACCTTGCTTCTCCTGGAGTCCTCCTCCTCCTCCTCCTCCTTTTCCTCCTCCTCCTCCTCCTCCTCCTCCTTTTCCTCCTACTCCTCCTTTTCCTCCTCCTCCTCCTCCTCCTTTTCCTCCTCCTCCTCCTCCTTTTCCTCCTCTTCCTCCACATTTGAATGGGCGCGATGATGGGATGGGTATTCCTGCGCCAGTCTCTCGCTCGATCGCTGAGGCTGCAAAGCAGGCTGGTGGCCTTCACTCGCGAAGTGCTGTCAAGCCTGGCTGCGCAGGGTTGAGCAGCCTCGGACTCCCCTCTTGCACGCTCTGCTCCCCGTCGCCAGCGCCTGAGACTCACACCCCCCTTGCGTCGGGAGAAAAAAACTGGACGGGAGGTTTTTGTTGGGGCATGTTCTGCCTCTGAGCCCTCGCCCGGCGCTGGGACCGTCCGAAAACGTTGAACCGGGGGAGGCGAAGAAAGGTGCACCTCTCGTGCCCTGCATGGGGCCCTCGAGGGGCCTCCTGGGGCCCAAGAGGGGCACGAAAGGTGCACCCCCCCCCCCATTTGTCGCCCCCCCCTGCTGCGCAATGCCCGCAGCGACCCAGGATGAAAAATCCTGGTCCCCGGGCAGGCGTCCAGCCGCGTGGGGGGTCCGCGCCGTGCCGAGGCCACGACGACGGGGCCCCCAGGAGGCCTCGGCCCTGTGCCCCTCTGCGCCGCCGTGCTTCCCCGGCCGCTGTTTTTGGTCACGCCTGCCTTGGGATCTGACGTGCAGGCCTCGGGAGAAATTAGCGAACGCTCATGCCGCATTCATCTGTCAATGGCCCCCCCCCATGATCGATATTGGCGGTGGAATGAGCGAGCTGCACTTCGGCCGCAGTCTTCCCCGCGCGTTCCGCTCAGTGTTTCCCTCCTTACCGTAGCGAGCAAATTCCCAGACACGGGGCACCTCGAAGAAATCCAGGCGCAGGTGTTTCCTCGATCTCGGCCTCGGGGCCCTGCACGGGCCTCGGGACAGTCAACACAAACGGCTCGGGATGGAGAACCGGCCGCGGGGACGTGGTCGAGAGGTCGGGGGCCCGCGTCTCGGAGACATCGAGGCACCGGATGTCCGGGCCTGCAACCTCGTGCAAGATCACGGCGGGAGCCCCGGACCCCGCCTTGCCTGCGCCGCTTCCCGAGCCGGCTCGACCTGCGAGGCGTCCCCGGGGCTCGCAGCCGGGCGACGACGCCCAGCTCAGGCTCGAGGCCGCTGCGGCGCCACAGGGATTTCCCTGGTGTCTCCTCGCCCGGCCCCTGTCTGTCTGCTCGGCGCCCCGGCGTGCGGCCCGTCCTCGCGGCCCTCGCGGTGCCCCTCTCGTCGCAGGCCGTGGCCCCTCGGCTGCCGCCGGCCCGCGTTCCTCCTGCTCCTCCCTGGCAGTGGGCGGGGGGGCTCTTCTGGAGCGGACGTGCGCGGCGCGGAGGCGAGAGCCGCATTCTGGAAGCCAGCGGCCCTCCACCACCCCGTGTGGCTGTCGGGAGCTCCCGGGACGAACGTGCGCGGCGCTGAGGCGAGAGCCACACTCCGGAAGCCACCGGCCCGGCCCTCCTTGCGGCTGCGGGGAGCTTTCAGCAGCGCTGAGGCGTGGTCCGCATTGCGGGAGCCACTGGCCCTCCATCCTTGTAGCTGTCGGGAGCTTTCACAGCGAAGGTGTGCGGCGCTGTGGCGCGAGCCGATTTTGGCAGCCACTGGCTCTCCACCTTTGTATCTGTTTTATTTGTGTTGCCTTCGGAATTGTACACTGCATGGAAGGCTCAAGCGAAGCGCTAGGCCTGGCCTTCAACGCGTCTGGTGGTGTGGCAGGAGTGGAGTCGGAGTAGGGACGAGGAGGAGGAGAACGCGGAGGAGGTGGAGGACGCGGAGGAGGAGGAGGAGGAGGAGGAGAACGCGGAGCAGGTGGTGGGGCAGAAGAGGGAAGAGGGACGGAGGAGAACGCGAAGGAGGTGGAGGAGGAGACGGAGGAGAGGAGGAGGTGGAGGAGGAGGCGGAGGAGGAAGAGCAGGTGGATGTCGAGACGAGTGATGAGGATGAAGAGGAAGCAGAAAGGAGGTTTCAGTTCAGTTCTAGGCGCGACCTCTCCCAGATTTGCAGCGAGCCGAGCGAATCATCTCGAACGGAGGGGGCGCTGGAGGATGGAGAGAAAGAGAGAGAGAGCGAGAGAGAGGAGGGTGAGGAAGACGAGCAGAAGGAGGGAAAAATTGAGGATGAGGAAGAGGAGGAGGAGGGGATGAGGCAGGGTCAACGGATGAGGAAGGGGACGCAGCAGAGGGAGACGACCATGGGGGGGAGGCGGAGGAGTGGGAGACAAGTGGCGCAGTAAAGGCACTGAGCAGTACTCTGGATTCAGGCGAGGCTCTGGTCTGGGGGCTGCTTCTCAGACCTGGGTTCGGGGACCCCTTCGTGGCCGAGGCTCGCCATGGCCAGGAAGTCCTCGCAGGAGCAGGTCGCAGCGCTGCCGCCTTCCCCGCCTCTTCGGAGATCCGCGCGAGCTCACATCCCGCGCGCACGCCGCACCGAGGGCGCGCGCGGGGGGGGGGGCGTGGCTTGCCATCGCTCGCTGCTGGCCGGGGCGTGCCGTACCGCGTCATGTGCTGCCGCCGCCCCCCGGGGCGCACCCCGACCCCTTGGGCGGCCCGTGAGCCCTGACGCGTCCCTCGACGCATGCCGCCCCCCTCGGAGCATGAGCACGGGCTCCGAGTGTGGAGGCAGGCGACAGATTCGCGCCGTGTCGACCGGCGGCGATCCCGCCGCCAGCGTTCGACGTCGAGCGCCGCCGGCAGCCCAGAATCGGTCGATGTTGAACGATCTGACGTTGCCGAAACGTCGGATCGTTCAAGGTGGAACGATCCAAGCGGTGTCAGGAACCAACGCCGGGGTGGACTGGACACGAACCTGCCGTACGGTCGGGAACTTTTGAATAGCGTGTCGCTCCGCCGGTTCTGCCCCCCTGCGCTTTGGAGCGACACGCTGTCCACTTCGCGGCACCCCAACGCCAACGTCCCGAGCAGCCTTTCCCAGCCCCCCCCCGCCCAGCGGAGCGGAGCGACAAGCCATTCGCTCGCAAGGCACAGCGTGTCGCTGGGGCCGCCGCCGCGACACGCGATCCAGAAGTTCCCGACTGTAGTACGGTGGGTACGCTGCGTGTGGGATCGGCACGCGCCGGCCCGCGTTGCGGCGACCGCAACGTGCCGGACCTGCGTTTTCGGTCCGCGTCTTGAGCTCCGTGTCAACACGCTACAGTGTTGCGTGTTGCGTATCGTGGTGGCTGAGTCCTGCATCCTCCCTTCCCTGGCGTCCTCGTTGTCGGCGCGGGCGACCCTCGAGCTCAGAAGTTCAGAAGCTTTGTTTTCCGAGCCATCCTGTGCTATGTGGTCCTCGTTCCGCAGAGACAGCGCCACGCATCTACGTCCTTCCTCCTCCCGCTCCTCCCTCCCACTCCCTACCTCTGCTTCCCGCGTGTCAATTAGTTCGGCACACCAAGTACAGCGCTTCGTGGCCCCATAGGAAGCTCCACCGAAGGCCCCAGGGGGTGTACCATATGTGGCCGCCCACCCATTACACGTTTTGCAGCCCCATAGAGAGCTCCACCGAAGGCCCCAGAGGGGGTGTACCACATGCGACCGCCCCACCCATTTCGGCACACTCCTCGCACATTTCGTAGCCCCATGCGAGGTTCCACCCAAGGCCCCCGGGGGGGTGTGCCACATGCGGCCGCCCCAGCCATTTCGGTACACCCTTCACACGTTTCGTGGCCCCATACAGTCGAGCGTCTGGTTGAGAAACCTCTTCCCGAGAAGCTTGGCCAGCGTTTTTTCACTAATATGCCGGAAAGCTGGCCCAGTTTCTTGAGCACGTTCGCCCCTCCAGCGTTTTCAGCAGAAACTGCCGAGTATTGTTGTAAGAAGCTTCCAGGAAGTTGGCCCAGGTTTCTCAAATGGTAGGTTTCTTTCTCACACTTCTGGCTGTAATGGGGGCTCCACCAAGGGCCCGTGGTGGGTGTACCGCATGTGGCCGTCCCATTTCTGTGGGCACACCCCTCACACGTTTCGTGCCCCCCGGAGGGAGCTCCACCTGAGGCCTCAGGGTGCAGTGCCACGTGCGGCCGCCCCGTGCTCCCATCGGGAGCGCCACCGAAGGCCCCAGAGGGGTGTGCCACATGCGGATGCGGCCGCCCCACCCATCTCGGCACACCGTTCCTACGTCTCGTGGCCCCATAAAGGGGGGCTCCACCAGAAGCCCCAGGGAGGTCCACATGCGGCCGCCCGGCCCACTTCGGCACGCCCGTCACACGCTTCGCGGTCCATGGCAAGCTCCCCCGAAGGCCCCCAGGGCCGGGGCCCGCATGCCACGTTTCGCGGTCCCACCACGGAGCTCCCCCGAAGGCCCCAGTGATAATTAGCGCCCGCATGGCGTCCCCGCCCCATTTCGGTGCACCCTCTCACACGATTCGTAGCCCTACAAGGGGGCTCCTCTATCTAGAGCCCCAGGTGCAGCGCCCGCATGGTGGCCCCGCCCCATTCCGACGCACCTTTCACACGCTTCGTGGTCCTATCAGGAGGTCCATCGAAGGCTATCCTCAATGAAGGCGCTCGCAACTGCAAATTGTTGGGTCCTTCGCCAGGATAGTTCATCTACGGTCAGGAGCGTTTCTTCTTGCACACCTTAAGACGCCACAGACTTGGCAGATTGGACTAGACTTGCGTGTGCAGCGGGACAGTCTTTAATAACCGAAACCGCCACGATAACCATGAGCTTGACAATCGCATTCCGGCGCTGGCGAATGTGGAGCGTGGACAAGAGCGAACAGGGGCGGGAAGCGGGGGCGAAAACGAACGGGAAGGGGCGAAGGAGCAGAACGGGGTTCAGCAAAGGCAGGGGCAAGAGGTAAGCGAAACAAAATTGTGTCGCGACATTGATTTTGGCCCACCATGCTTCGACGCGACACGCTGAGCACATCCCAGTCCCGACTCATCAGCGCTCGAAGCCTCTCCCGGCCCCCCGCCCAGCGGAGCGGAGCGACAAGCTACCCGCTCGCAGGGCAGGGCGTGTCGCCGGGGCCGCCGCCGCGACACGCTGAGCAGAAGCTCCTGGCCGCAGTTCCCTCCCTGGTGCGCGAGGGTCCAGGGCACAACGTGGAGCTCGGCGGGACAGGGCGGGTTGCGGCGGTGCACCGCCGCTGCCCGCTGCCAGGAGCTGATCGCGCAGAGGGGCAAGCTGAAGGGCCTGTGCAACAAGGCCATGTTCAAGGCGAGCGGGATGGAAGGCAGGTCGACGCAGTGCAGGGAGCGTCGGGCTGGACGACGGGAGGGGAATGAAGGGGAATTGGTCTTGGGGCCTCTGGGGCCCTTGCCAGGCCACGGGGCCGTCGGCAAGAGACCCGGGACGACACATTGACCCTGGTGGAAGGGTGAAGGCCTCTTGAGGTCCACGACGCGAAACACACACGATGTAGGAGGGCTGGGTGTGGTGGGGATACGAAATCTGCTGCAAGCCCCCCCCCCCCTGGCTGGAGCTTGAGCGTGCGAAGCGTGCGCGTGGTCTTAGTTTCTGTTTCTCTGGCTGCTGGATCTCCTAAGTCGATGGTCAGGGGTGCATCACAACAAGCCTCGAGGCATGATGTATTGGGCAGGGCTCGTGTGCAGGGTTGGGCATGCCGTGGTTCGCGTCTGTTGGCTCCTGTTCAGCGCCGCGACTGCAGTCTCGAGCTTCACATCAGCACCATGACTGTACGCTGTCGGATGCTGCAGTTGGATGATCGGCGTCCGCGTTTTGAGTTCCTGGGGTTTGTCGCTGCTCCCCAGGAGACGCAGAACGAGATCCAGGCGGTGGCCCACCAGCTGAAAGAGAGCAACAAGACGCTGTGTCGGACGCGCGTTCCACCCTACCTCCCGGCTCGTGTTGAGTGGAGGCGATGCTGAGCGAGCATGGTCGGATTTCTGAACTTTGCCCTTGGCCGCCTCTCCATCTTAGCCATAATCACAGTCCTCATCCGTAGCCTCGTCCTCATTTCTGCCCCTGTTCGTCCAGGTGCATGCGGCGAACCCCGCTAACGTGCCAGGGCAGCAGTGCAGCATAGAGGAGACCGAGGAGGAGCAGGAGGAGTCACATACCCAGCTGCAGCTGAGCGCCCTGTCTGAACTGGCGCGCGTGTCCCACCCACCCCTTCCCTGTTCTCATCCCATCCCCCCTTCTCCCCACGTCCATGTTGAAGGTGTATTTGAGGTTTTGTGGGCTGATATTTGGGAAACGAAGAATGACATTCACATGAAAACTCGGAGGTCCGCGCGGATTTCTCGGATCGGCGCTCGGGCCCCCTGGCGGCGCCTCCGGTGCCGCCCCTGGCGCGCTCCGCGCGCCAGGGAGGGGGGTCGAGCGCCCTCCCGACAACTCCGCGCGGACCTCCGAGCTATTGCGTTTCTGTCACTGTCTGTTCCCCTAGACATGATCATGCTGTGGTGCCAGTGTGCCTGTCTCTATGCGCCCCAGCAGAGGCCCGGCGAAAGGGGGAGAGGTCGTGGTGCGCGCAGGGCGGACCCGCCTCCCGGGGGCCCCCTTGGGAGGCAGGGCGGCCCTGTCTCGGCGCGCGGCCCTCCCCCCGTGGCCCTGCACGCCGGCCGCTCCTCGCTCCTCGCTCCTCGCTCCTCGCTCCTCCCTCCTCCCTCCTCCCTCCTCCCTCCTCGCTCCTCGCTTCTCCCTCCTCGCTCCTCCTCCTCCTCCTCCTCCTCCTCCTCCTCCTCCTCCTCCTCCTCCTCCCTCCCCCCGCGTGCGTGTCCGGCGCGTGGCCTCCGGAGGTCCCGCACGGGAGCCCAGCCCTGCTTGGGCCTCGATCGCCAGGGAGAGCTTCGAGCACCGGCAAGGCACCGAGAAGCTCGCGAGCTTGCGCGCGTCGGGCCACGGGAGGCACTTGTCCGACGCCGTTTCGACACTGCCTCGGCACTGTTTCGACGCTTTTCCGGGTGCTCGAAATTGTTTCTGGGATGTGGTCCTTATGCACGATGGGAGCGTCGCACATCCAGCCGTAAGTTCAGGAAGACAGATGTCGGGCTGGTAGGATGGAGCTGGGAGACATGAGAATTCTATCACCCGTAGGCGGCCGAAGGTATCGTGCTCCGCATCCGAATGCCATTTTTTTATACCCTTCATTCTCCCAACCCCTTCCTCCCGACTCGGCAATTGTTCTCCTCAAAAAGTGCCTCCAGCCGCACATCCAGGGGCGACGACCGACGCGCACGCCTTTTGTGCTCACGCCTCGGCGTCGGCAGCCGAGAGCTGGCCGGGGTGCGCAGGCCTGCACCGCGGCCGTGCGAGCGACGGACGGGTCCTCTCCAGACGAAGGCCGTGGAGTGCTGTGTTCGGACACCGCGCAGGAAAAAAAAACATACTTTATTGCGTCGCCTCTTCGGGGGGCCTCGTCTGTCCAGAGAAAGTGTGTGTGTGTGTGTGTGTGCGTGTGTGTGCGCGCGTGTGTACGTGTGTGTGTGTGTGTGTGTGTGTGCGTGTGCGTGCGTGCGTGTGTGTGTGTGTGTGTGTGTGTGTGCGTGTGCGTGCGTGTGTGTGTGTGGTGTGTGTGTGTGTGTGTCGTTTCTTGTGCCCGACGCGGGTTCGATGCGGAGTCATCGCGGATTTGGCGTGGATTCGACGCGGATTCGGCGAGTGCAGCAGAGATTCGACATGGGCGCGGCGCGGATCGGGGCGCGACGAGACAGACAAAGGTCCCCCGAAGGTGCAACCCAACGCTGTCTTTCTTTTTTTCGCGTCGCGGCCATGCGCGCAGCGCCGCGGAGTCGGTCGGAGAGGAGCCCAGGAAGTGCCGCACGGGAGCGCGCACACACAGTGAGTACCGCGCGCATAAGGAATAATTAAAAAGTGCGTATATATAAATAAATAAAACAATACACAACTAACACATTACCCCCCCCAAAAAAAACGCGCGCCGGGCAGTTGATGCCACCCGAAGCCCGCGGCATCGCAGCACGCTTTGGGCTGCCGTGATGCTGTTTCGTTGCCTTTTCCGTCCTTCCGTTTGTGTCCCGACTTGGATCCCAGTGAGTTCTGGCCCCTCCCGAGGCAAGATGCAGTTCATACCGCGTGGGCCTCGCCGTGGGCCCAAAGGGCGAGCATCGATTGGACGAAGTACTTTGAGTTTCGTCCGCCTGCCCTTCCTCGGCTTTGGCACTTGCCATCATCACCGAGCACTCCGTGGGTTGCGCCATAAGCTGGTCCAGGGGTTGCGCCATCCGCACCGCAGGCTGCGCCAGAGGCGCACCACAGGTAGCCGCCACAGGTGAACCCACAGGCTGCACGGTAGAGGCGGCACAGGCTGCGCCATGGGTGAGGGCAGCGCACTTGAACTACTTATTACTTGGATGTTGCTGCACGTGCCCGCACAGCTGCTCGACGTCACGGGTTTCTGGGTCATGTCGGATCCCAACCTTTTGCTAGCCTCTTCTGGTACAGTTTCCTTCTCTTTCCCGCCGTTGGCTCTTGTGTGGCCCGCGTGGTCAGGAATCTGAGGGAAAACCCGAACGTGCAGGGCAACCTGCAGAAGATGCAGTTGGAGAGAGCGCAGGTAAGGACCTCCCGGGTTGCCTGGCTGCCTCGGGGAGGGCAAGGTGGAGGACCAGGGAAGAGCGGTACCATGTGGCGGAGGACGAGGAGGAGGGGGCAACAAACAAGGACAGGAGGACCACGAGGATGAACACGGGCACGGGACTGCTTTGGGGGGCCGCCTGTGCGCAACCCGAAGCTTTACCACCCCCTCTGCTCAGTATCGTTTCACCGATCCCTCTCTTCGTCCCCATTCCCATCCCGATCCCCACCATCCCACCACCCCGGTGGGGGACAGACAGGCCCCCCGAAAGTTGGAGGGAACCAGCTACATCCCCAGCTAGGCGGGGGTAGATCGGCCAGTGGGCCCAGGCCACGCCAGTGGGGATGTGGATCGGTGAAGCGATGCTCATCTGCCTTCCCCCCCCGGGCGTGTCGCCGAAGAGCCCTTGCCCGCAGTGTCCTGGCTTGGGCCCTGACCGCGCTGGGGCCCCAGTCGATCACAAGAGGGCGCGTGGCTGCCGCCCCAGGCTGCAGCGCGGCCCTGGTGCTGCTGCTGCTCCTCTCCTCTCTTCTCCTCTCCTCTCCTTCTCCTCGTCCGTCTCCTGCACAGCCTCCTCCTCCTCCTTCTACTCCTCCCTTCTCTCCTCTGATCTGCGCTCTCCTCTCCTCCTCTCCTCTTTGCTCTCCTCCCCCTCCACCTCCAGGCGTCAAGCTCTGCGCCCGACGCCAGGTCTATTTGCCGACCATGTCCATTCCACACATTCACTCTGCGCGCAATGTCTCCCTCTTGTTATTGAGGAGCCCGTCGCCCCCACCCGCATGGAGACGGTGGAACATCGCACCCTTACCCTCCTCACGCATAATGTGTGCTCTCTTGTCCAGCCATGACGCCATGCGGAAGCTTCTCTCGCAGATGCTAACAAATATATATCTTCCTTGACAGGTAACAGGATCTGACTGAAGGCCACCGACAGCTGTTGTCGCAGCGTCCCCGACAAAAAACTCCACATCTGGAGCTGGGGTTGCAGTCGAGGTGTTTTCTCGACCGGTCATGCAGGTGTACAACTCAAGCTCTGGAGCGACATCTTCAGGACCCGACATGTATCTGCAGTTTACTCGCCCCTTGCTGTCCTACAAGGCCGCGGAGGGCGGTGCTTCTACGATCAGGCCGCTTTCACCTTCTTGCCATCGTCGTTTACTTTCCTCCTCGCCCGTCGGTTGCCAAACAGAAGAGTAAACATCAAAAAGTGCGAATGCGCTGATCAAGTGGATGACAGGCGCTCCCAGCGAGCATCCTGCACAATGCTCAATGATCTTCGGAGGCGACCTGAAAGATCATGCGTGTATACCACCAGCCACAGACGTCTCGGATGAGGTTGACCCCACCGGACCTCTGATATCGTCGGCCAGAACATGACTGCATGCAGAAAAAAACACGTACCCTGAACAGTTTGGGCCATGTTTCATCAACACCTTTGTGGGCGCGTAGGACACTTGTTTCGGACAACTGAGCACCGCGCGGGTGGACTACATAGGGACCCTTCGCACCTGGCTTTCGTTGGTCACGCTATGCAGGGTCCTCCAGAAGCTCGGCTGAAGGCTCCAAAGTGTCCCCACAGTCTGTCGATGGGACCACTGGCCCCTCCAGGTCTCGGTGCGTTACCTCTTCAGTTTCCCCGCGCGCCCACGACGAAAGCGGAGTCTTGGGATACGGATTGTTTGGCAGAAGGCGTTGTGAATGGGTTGTGGCGGGCTCGCTTTCTTCGCGAAATTGGAGACATGTTTTTTTGCACGTTTCCCGCATGGTCCAATCTCGAAAGAAAGGCCACTCCAGACCGCGCCTGGGAAAAAGGCTTGTGGGGGACATCAAAACCATTGCGTTGGGGCACTTTGCAAGGTATTCCGAAGACGATGTTGAGCACGCGTGTGATTGAGAAAACCAGCGAGACCTTTGAAGCGACGATTCGAGCTACGAAACGAACTTTCTGATCTTCCTGCCGTTGTTACCGTTGACATTGTGTACATCCAGGGGTTCGCGATACTCCAGAGCCAACTTGTGTCAGTGGCCAAGCAGATAAAACAACATCGAGATGAGGACGGCAATCATCGGATGGAGTCGTTCACCGAACAAATCTGGGACGCCTGGAAGACGCCTTGCTTGTCTCTGCTTCATCGTCTTTGCCGCCGACTCGCCTGCGCGACGGTGGGACCATGGCGGCGTTTTTTCAATCAGCCGATCAGAATGCGCCCCATTGCTCAGACGTGGGCTGATTTTCTTGCACAACGTGGGCCTCTGGGAGGCCAATCAGCTTTACCAGTTGCTCCTTCTTCTCTGCCAGCGGAACGGCTTGAGGATGGTACGGAACATTGGTTTTGTGTGCGCCTGCAGAAGACACTCCACGGAGTTCGCCTATGGAGGTGTTTCGCATGATACTTCTACCCAGCAACCGCCAGCCCAAACAGAAAGAAGAACCATATGCGTTCGCTGACACTCTCCCCACCATGGAATTGCCATCGCGTTGGGTTCGAGGGTTTCTCTGGGACGTTCGAGGAGGGGCCCGATTGCCGCTCGACCGGCGCCGGTCCTCGGGCTGCAGCATTCCGAAAAACCGCAGTCATCGCTCCCGGGCTGCGTTCTATTCGTCTCGTGCACCGCATGTGTCTTTTCAGCAAGGCGCGCAATGAGTATTCTGGGCGTCGTGGCGAGGCTATTCTGAGCGAGTTTTAGCCGACCACCTCCACGGTGGAATCCGTCGCCGTCGGCGAGAGACCGCAATCAAGATTCAGCCGATTATTGGATGGCGCCTCTCGTGCCTCCGCCAGTCGTGCAGCGCGCTCTTCTTTGATCGGGCCAACTTCTTCGGCAGCCTGAGAGCAGACACTTCAGATGAAACAGGCTATCTACGCATCCATCCAGTAACTACCACAGAGTCCTCACCTTGGATTGCTCGGATAGGGCGGGTCATGTCCAGGTTTTTGAAGGCGTTCTCCAGGGCCGTCAGTCCGCGCCTGCGGAATACACTAGATGTTCCGACCCTAGTGCGATCGCTCCTTGACTCGCTGTGCGACATGCTCAACCTCGCGGCTGCGATCTAGTCTGCAGTAGCCCAGTCATCGGCATCAATGGACAGAACCGTGATCTATCTGCCACGGCATACTTGGGCGACGCTGCCCATGATAGCATCGCCTCAGCAGCGTCCACTATGGCTGATCAGGCCTGCTCGCCCACTGCCAGCCTTCCCCGTGCTCTAGCCGCTGCAGGCGGTGCATTGAAAGAAGATATGCAAGGTACAGTGCCCCAGGTCGTCGGTCCAGGTGCGCTTTGGCAATCCCGCGCGTTGGCAGATCCCGCGCATCTTCTTCCCGTGCGCGCGTGCGCGCGCGCAATGCCTTGGCGCGCAGTGTCACGGGGCTGGGGCTGCATCACAACAGCGGTGCGCCATGCAGAACTAATCGCGAGAAGTGCGTGGCACGCTATGGGGGAGTCTTTTGTTTCCTAAACAGGCCCCACTACACATTCATGCATGTTTTTTTCTTCCAAGCGCGCCCGCAGTCTGCTGGGCGCAGTGGGCCGGAAGCATTTATCCCGTCGGCCAGCGGTTTTGGGCCCACCGACGGCCTCGTGTCGCAGCGGGGGCGGATTCTTTTCGGAAGCGCAGTAGTTCTCAAGATTCCGCAGGCGGACGGCACGATCGAGCACGTTTCATTTTTGGCACTGCGCATTTGGAATATGCTCGGCTTGGCCCCGTCTCAGCTCGAGCTTTGCGCGCGGCGTTTGCACTGGCGCAGAATGCGGTAGAGCGCCGCTCCGAGAATAGGCAGTTGTCGGCGGCGCTTTTCGGCTAGATGCGCAACGAAGAGCAGCCCGCCAGGGACAATTAATTTTTCGCCCGGGAAGCGTCTGGGATCCTCAGAGGGAACCCCTGGGCCTCGCAGGCTGCCGCGATTTCTAGATGGTGATCCGCGCCGATGGGGGCCCTGAACTAGCGGGCGCCGCGGGGCGCATTCATCTCAGAGTTTCCAACGAGGAGTTTCGCACGGGGCTTCGGGAGCTTAATTTCGCTGTTCTTCGCGCCAAGTTTCGGGCAGGAGACGCGCGGGGGACGGTGGGGGAACAATCAGTGGGGGAGAAGGTGAGTCCTTGACCCCCTGATCTTGCGCCCCCCCTCGTGCTTGGAGATGCATAAACAATGGCTGACGGCGCGGATCGCGGATTGGAATTCATGACCATCATGGGCGGCACGCTCGCGCGAGGATTAGCACCGAGGGAAGTCGTGGACTTAGGGCGGTTTCGCGGCTTCTCACCGCCGCTGCAATTTCCCATCATCATGTTCGGCACTTGTTCATCAAGCGGATTTGCCGAGACGATCGAAGCCCGGATTAATCGCGAAGTCACCCTGCCCCTTGCGTTCGAACGCTCCGCGCGCAGCGTTGGCCATCCGTCGCTCGAGGCCCTTCAGCGCCATATTCGCACTCTCGTTGGTCAGACTGGCGCGTCCTTCTCCTTCGCCCCTGTTGGCCCGGTCGATGACTATCAGAGCTCCGGGGCCCGAGACGGCGAAGAGGCGCGCGGCCGAAGCTCCGCCGACGAGCTCGCCGACCGCTGGCGGCAGCGGCAAGCGCGAGGCCGAGCGGCGGCAGGAGGCGCCCTCTCGCATGTTTCAGGGGGCACCATGATCTCATGCATTCCGCACGAACCTCCATCGGCACCGAGACCAGGCTCGCACTCGGCTGAAGCAGCAGAAGCGCCCCCGCGGCTTTGGCGCCACCATTCTGTTCGGCTGGGAGGCGCTTTTTCCGAGGCCGCAGCCCTGGTGGTGCTGCAGCTCCTCCTCTCGTCTCCTCCTTCCTCGACGCTGATGGCGCACTGTGTCGGACATCGTGCAGCGAACTGCCCAGGCTTGGAGGGGGCCCGCCTGGTTCAGGTCTGCAGGCGGCGCCCAAGGCTGCGGGTTGCTGGTGGGGAGCCAGGCCGCTGCTGCAGGGGCTTCGGGCCGTTCCTCGAGGCAGGACAGCCTG